TTTTGTGCACACGTGGGGACCACCCCACGTGCGCACAAACCTCTCCCTCCCCCCCAGGTCCCCCCGATGTGCGGATTTAAGTATCCGCACACCAGGGGGCGACTTGAGAATTAGATATATAGATAAGGCAGAAATGTGGTGAAATTTTCTTTGAACTACTTAAAAAACTTTCTAGAGTTACACATCTCTATGCAAATATAGACACATGATATAGACTATTCCCCTACCTGGATGACCCAAGCAAGCCCAATCTTGTCAGACATCAGAAGCTAACCAGGGTCAGTCCTGGTTAGTACTTGGACCAAGGACCACCAGGCAATGCGCACCACCACAGAACACCTGTTGCCTTGAAAACTCTGTAGGGTTGCCAGAAGTTGGCCGCAACTTAATGGCATTTCCCAAAGATACATACAATTAAGGTGTTTTGTTGTTGTTGTTTTTAACGAGACTGCAGTTGACAAGATCTTGCAGCAGAATGTATTTATTCCGTTTACCCACCTCAGGAAACAGCTCTAGAAAGAGCTAGATTCCAGTCCAGTAGCACCTTAAAGACCAACAAGGTTTGTAGGGTATAAGCTTTTCAGAGTCAAAGCTCTCCCTTCATCAGATTCTTTTAAAATGTACAAACTTTTAAGTTTGGATCCAGAGAAGTGTGTAGGGATGGGCACAAACCGGCTCACGAAGTTCATCATGAATTCTGACCAGTTCATGGTTCACAAAATGATGGTCAAGGAAGGGCACCCAGCATGAACATTACACAAATTTTAGTGCTGTTCGTAGCAGTTTGTGGCGGTACAGGGATGGATACATTTCCAGGCAGACTGTCTCTGTTCAATTAAACTGTTTACAAAACTCCAAGGCAACAGGGGGGCAAAATTCTCCAGCCGTGGAAACACCAAAAGGAGCCCTCCAAAGTTTAATAGGCACTTCCAATCTGCTCTATGGAATCAGAAAGCTAATATACGCTCAGCTCCACACCTTTTAGTCTGACGGCAGTTCACACTGCAGGTAGACAGAGAGGCAGGGAACTTGTCATAAGCCAACTAGCAGAGCATGTTAATTTATTCCCTCCTGATTGTGAACTCCGCCTCCCTGCTGGGTTTGGGTGTTAGGTGGACTTAGGGCTCATGGTCACACAGGAAAGTTTGGGCCAGATGACCACTATTCCAGGAGATCAGCATCAGTGATCTCAGAGGACTTAGTGAGGTACTCCCATCACCTCTGCCAGCCAGATCCACTGCCATTGCATGCCTGGTATCCCCACTGCTGCTGGCCTTCCTGGTTCACTACTGACAACCAGTAGTGTGGCTTCTCCCTGGTTGGGCTCTTTGAGGCAGAGGTACTGGGCTGCAGCTCCTCCTCCTCCCCAACCTCTTCAACCTGCTGTTCCCTCTGGCCATGTATGTTGGCCTCTATCCACTGCAGTCTTTGCAGAGCTCACACTTCCATTGCAAAAGCTTGCATTCAGGAGAGCAATCCTGCCTTTTAATCAGGAGTCACAGTCTATACAGGCCAACTTGTACTCCCCTTTGTTGCAAAGAGGATGCAACCTGTTGGTGATGCCCACCTGCAATCTCTGCCAAGACCAGAGAGTGTTAGCAACTGCTGATATCTCTGGGCAGTGCTGCTAACAACTCTTTTGACTCTGTGGAGAGCCCCAGGGTCAAGAACAGATTAGGGGAAGGAGGCTCTGAGACCGCTGGTGATGCCCTGCTAGGGCCAGGCTCCAGTGGCCTGGCAGGATGGGTTTGGTGCCCAGGGGCCTGTGGTACGCAGGGGGTGGAGAACTTCTCCACCCCCACGATAAGCACCCTTTGCACCCACTTTCAGTCTCATGGCACACAGAGGTGTTCACACTCAGGAGGGGTATAAATGTGGGAGACCTTTTGGGGGGGTCTATAACTGGGACTGCAAGAAATGTAATCTGCCACCAACTTGGATTGTAGAGGGGCCAGTCCTAACATCCAGTACTAGCCTGATGCCTGTGCTTCGCTATGGTATTTAAGTTCCATAAATCCAGTTATAATACTGATGATGTGAAATTTGAAATGTGACATTTGCTGTAGGAATTCTAACAGAGAAGATTGTAGTGTAAGAAATTAAGTGAGACATACACACTGTTTTTTCCCCCCTCTACTGAAGGACCTCTCTGTAGACCACATTGGTGGTTCTGCCCTCAGGTGCCAGGATCACCAGGCTGTTCACTCTGGAGCAGGCCACATAGAACTGTCCATTTAAGAAGCAGTCGTCTGTTAAGTCAACTCCTGCCACCTTCCACAAAAGTGATGGCCTCTCTACTTGTGTTCCTGGATTGTTTTGCTCATATGGAGACTGTGTTGTTCTGAGCACCTCAGGGTGATCTTGCTAGTACTTGGACTGTGCAGCTCAGTGCACTGCAGGAGTACTATGTGCAAATGTCTTTGCCACATTCCTAAGTTGCCTCCTCCTTGTAGTGTTGCTGTATCAGGCTCAACGTTTGCCAGGAGCTTTCTTGGGGGCAGTAAGTGGTGAGAGGTGTGAGGGGGAGTTGGTGTGAGGGAGTGGTGACGTAGTGGATATTTCTTCAGGTTCATGAAGGAGGCACGCATCAAAATGGCTCCTGGAAATGTCCCTTACTATCTCCCCATAAACGTTCATACCCTGGCCCTGCTCCTACACCTGACAGACACCCGCCTGTCTGGTGTTGGGGGGGATTGTGCTTTAAGCACCCTGCAACCATGGCTGCACCTGACAGACAACTGCCTGTTAGGTGTAGGAGGTGGGGGGAGTGTGTTGGAAGCCATCAGAGAGGCTGGGCCAGCAGCTTTGCTTCCCCTCACAGGTGGTTCTTGGTCATTCCTGATCTCCTCAACTGTCATTAGCTCTCTGAAGTTCCCTGTAACTGTTGGGGTTTTTTTACCTCAGAACACTGAGGTAAAACACTTGAGGTAGCACCCCTCCAACCCGCTGGTGTGCAGATCCGCCATCGCTGCTCCAGAACGTCCGCCATCGCTGCTCCATAAACCGGAAGCCAGTATAATAGATTTTGTTGAGAGCAATTAAATGAGAATGGAGGGAATTTAGAAATAAGCGGAAATTATTTATTAATAGTAAATATAATGGAAATAAACATATAAGTATAGCTGTCATAATTAGAGGGCATGGTAAGGAGATGGAGGATGTGCTTCCCTTGAGACCTCTGGTAGTAGGGAGGAAGGTTCCCTTCCAGCTGAAGGGGTTTTCTCCTCAGCCCCCAGTCTCAGAGGCAACCCCATCCAGCTTTCTTTTTAGGTATAGAAGAATATAGAAATGTAAAGAAGAGTGCATAAAACAGAAGTTAGAAGATTAAATGGGTAACAAATTAATGAAGAATAAAAGGAAGACCTATTAATGGTTAGAACGTGATTCAGAGGGAGTTGTATGGTGGCTTTATATGCGGGTCGGATATTGGAATAAGAAAAAGAAGAGGAAACAATCTAGATTTGGATTAAGTTTAATTTGTTGGTTATACAGATGGAAAAAAAAGAGTTGTGGGCATGCTTCCCTTGCTGGGGTGCCCGTCAAGCTGTCGTAGGGTAACTTTGGGGATCCCCTGTCAGATGTCTGCTTTTTTGTCATTCCATCACTAATCACTTTAAATGGAAAACTTGACCTTAGTCCTGTTGGATTTGTGGCACTGGTTCTACTGGGCACATTGCACTAGTTTTGTTGGGCTTGCAAAAATGCCCCCCAACTTCAGTTTGTACTGCAGTGATTCTCGAGGACTTTGATTCTGTTCATTGGAAACAACGGAGGATGGTGGCACCTTCTTGGGGGGGCAAAACTTGGACCCTGTATATCCAATTCTCACCAAATTTGGAGGGCAGGTGAAGGAGAGTTAGCCAGAGTTCTGCTGACAGTTTGGTGTCTCTAGCTTGCACAGGATCCATTCTATACACTCCTGAACCTCCAGAACTTGCATCTCTCATTTCCTCAGAAAGCACTTTCTTGGGAGCACCTTCTTTGGGGAGCCATAACTCGGACCCCATAAATTCAATTGTCACCAAACTTGGAGGGCAGTAGAGAAGAGTTAGCAGAGATCCCCTGTGAGTTTGGTGTCTCTAGCACATGGGGGGGGGGCTGTTCAACTGCATCACAAACTTAATGAACCAAACCAGTTCGTCTAGCATCAAAAAGTTTGTGACAGTCCATGGTCCATAAATTGTGCACACCATGAACCAAACCACAGTGTGTTTCCCTGGTTCATGCCCATCCCTACTACAAGTGTGAGCAGGACACTTTGTGGAGCATCACTTTTCCTGCTAGCACTGTGTCACCCAAAAAACAAATGATGGGATCAAGGGGCACAGGGAATACAAAGGACGCAGAACTGGGACTGGAGTGAGAAAGAGGAAATGAGCAGGCTTCCTCTCCCCCTCCCCTTACTGTCCATTTAAGAATATAGCTTCCTTTTGAGAGGAAAGAACCCTCATTAATGAAAGTTACACTAAAGGACAAAAGAGAGATAGTAACACTGACTGTTTTCTTGTAATTTCACTATTAAGTGTACAGCCCAGTAAATAAAGTTATCCTGTGTAGCTTGCTCTCAGAATGGAACAAATTTACCTCAAGATGAAAATACATCACAAGGCACCCCCATCTTTGGCTTACAAACTGGATTAAATCGAACATAAAGGAAGCATCTGACAAAACTGCAGTGAAATCACAGAGGAACACATGACTCAAGAATATTCCTAATAAATTTTATAGCATCCTACAATTGTTGAGATTATGCTACTATCCATGCTGTTAATAAATTGACTATGGAAGTGCATGAAGGCTATTCTGTCTTAAAACACCTTCTGCCATAAAACCCCACCCAACTAGCCTGTGAGATTTAATGGACTTCTAAGCAGTAAGACGCACAAAGTAACCTTGCAAGGAGTGTTTCATTACCAGTAGTGAGAATGAGAAATTCCAAATATCATTATGAAATTTGCAGCATATAAAGTTAACTGTTATTTGTGATTCCTATTGCTTACCTGCAGAGCTAAGCAGAACACTAAAGTCTGTCCCACGCTGAGATTCACTGCTGTCACTTTGTGTTTCCTTCTCAGCATCTTCGTAACGTTGCCAGTTGGAAACTACCTTTCTTCTTGAATAACTTCCCTGTTCTTCCTTTTCCTCTTCTTGCAATTCTAGATCAGCAGCAGCCTATAACACACAGGAAAAAGATGAGTGAATTGAAATTTTAATTAGATTTTCCTTCAGTTTAGGTATTCTGAAGGATTAAACGGGCTGCCACAAATCAATGTCCCAACCTAAAATTGCATTTGTTGACATGCACTAAATACATTACTCAGGACTTGCATCATTATGCCCATTTTATCATGGCAACACTTCCTTAGTGTCACAAACAAAAGGTGCTAATCCTTGCAAAAATGATAGATTCCTTCAGACTCAGAACATCTAACCCCTTAGATTTCAGTAATCTGTCCAGCCTTTATGTTCTTTCACCTGGAATGGAACTAGAACCAGAATTTAAAGCAAGGCATATATTTTGGGTTGAGGGGGTTAAATCTATTTTTGCACTGCACCCCCCCTCTCCATACAGACATCAGCCTACTTCCTCCACTTTTTAGAAAATTAATTTCCAAGTTTGAAGACATGAGTTGATTCCCCCTACAAGTCATTCATCAAACAATACTACTATTGTTAACAAGAACCTTTTTACTGATTAGGGCTGCCGATATGAACCTGGGAAATGGTGGAAGACTCAATGTGGGGAGAGTGGAACCTTGCCGGCAACATAATGACATTGCCAGCAATGCATTGACGTTGCATTGGACATGACATCTGCGCATCACCAATGATACTCTAGCATTCGTCCAAAACTCGATGGTTTTAACTCTATGATTTAACCATAGCGTTTTGGCCAAATGCTAGAGCATGAGCAGTGACACACTGATGTCACTTCCAGTCATGTCGGAAATTATGTCAGCATGTTGAGATCGTCCCTCTTACCCCACCCCCCATTTCTCTCCCACCACGCAGCTGAGTGGTGGCAGGAAGGGCCACTGGAGGTGAGGGATCCCCCACCCCCAACAGGAGCTGGGCAAACCTATTGCAGATGGATGGATACCGCTAAAATATTTGAAAGTAATGCATCATCAAGGAAAGGAATGATTTTCCCAGGTAGGAGAACACCACTTACATTTGACAAACTGCACATTATAGCATCCAATATATTTAATTGTTACTGGTTTCATTTATCATCTGCCTTTCTCTTTGAGAGTCAAGGTGGATTACAGAATTACAAGATATTGCAATAGAGCCCAGCATTATACATCTAATGAACAATGCAATAAAACTGGATTACACAGAAAAATGATGAAATAAAAGCAGTATAATACAGCTAATCAACAGTGCAATAGAAAGGGGAGACAAAAAAAAAACTCCCTGCAATTTTTACAAACAATACCTCCCTATTCCTTTTATAAAAAGTTTCCTCCTGAACAGTCCAATTTTATACTGTCTTCAGAATGACAGAAGCATTCCTGACCTCTACAGGTAGGCCAGCTGGGAGCCACAGCAGAAAATGCTTGGGAACAGGAAGCTGTTGATCTTAGCCCCTTGCAGGGTGCCACCTTCAGAAGGCTTTGGTCAGATGAGTAAAACTGGGTCATCAGAATGTATCAAGAGAAGCCATTCTCCAGATATGTGGGTCCTAATTCATGAAGGGTTTTACAGATAATATCTACCACTTTGAATTGAATGTGGAAACTCATCACTAACCTATGGAGTGACTGCAGAATAGGTGTAATACACATATTCTGCTGCGCTTCCAATAAAAAAAACAACTGTGGCTGGCATTCTGTACTAGCTGGAGGTTCCATAGGCAGAGCCAGTAACGTGCACTACAATTATCTAGCCTTGAGGTTAGTTTGGCATGGATCCAAGTGACCGAATTGGCCAGGTCAGAGATAGGGTGCCATTCTCTGTACTGAATGAAGATGGAACCCCAAGTGAAAGTCCTACTCTGCTGGTCTCCAACAGCCACACTCTGAGTCAAATCCATAAGTAACTATTTAAACCATTCCAAAGCACAATCCTTGATCCTTACATTTTAGCAGGATGGCATGGTTCAATCTATGAAAGGCTGTTGATAAATCCAACAAGAACAAAGAAGAACAGCCCTTATGTACTTTCAAATGGAGATCATTAAGTGAAGCCATCAACACAGTTTCTGTCCAATAGCCTAGCCTGAAACCTGATTGAAAGGGGTCTACAGTAGATGTGTCATCCAGCAAGACCTACAATTGCTATGCCATCACTTTCTCATTTATCATCCCAGCAAGGGCAGATCAGAGAGTGAATGATAACTGGCCACAGCATCTGTATCCAGCAATGGTTTTTTAAATTAATGGAAGAAAAAACATCCCCTTTGGCACCTGAAGGAGAATGCCTCCAGTCGGAAGCAGGGACAACGATACAATGATGGCGGATGCATTTCCCAGCTCTCTGGGGAGGCGTACCGCACAGCAGCGAGGGGGAGAGGCGTAGCTGGCTCTGCGCTTCCATGGAAGTTCAGGGAGAACTTCCAAGCCATAGGGCTTTGAGGGTGAGCCTCTTTTCCTGCTAACGGCAGGAGAATGGAGGGTCCCCTCCGCCCCGACAGTCCCTCTCGCTGACTGCGTCCTCTTAGCAAGGCCACAAGCTGTGTCGACCCGATCAAGCACAGGAGATCTAGTGGAGGAGCGATTAAGAGCGAGGTCAAGATAAGACCAACAATGAATGTGAGTTAAGGAGCGAACTGTGAGTGAAAATGAGCGATTTGTCTTCAGAAGAGAAAATCCCCTCCCCCTCAAAGGAAAAACTTTCTGAGCGATAGCATGCTGAGAGAGGGATGCCTCTCAATGCATTTGCATAAACAAGGAGGGGGAGGGGGAGATAAACGATTGTAAATGGATATATGAAGCGAAATCCCCCCCTGAAATCCCTTAAGCGATTGGAGGGGGTGCCTCTTTGACACGTTTACATAAACGGAAGAGGGGAGGGGGAGAAGTAAACTGATACTTCTGAAAGACGTTATCTGCAAGCGTGTAAGCCTGTTATGGGAGATTTCCATTAGCTTTTAACAGTGTATACGATTTGCAGAGCCAGGAAGAAAGAGACATTATTGGAACTAAAATGTCGAAATGGCAGATTTTTTTTTTTTAAAGATGGAGAAAACTCTGAGGAGAAGAAGGGAAGTTGACGTCACTGCACTAGTAGCAGAAGCCATCAAGCCGATCTTGGAGCAACTTGTTGGCCAAGATAAATCAACAATTTGTGTCTCGGCAGCTCCAGGAGGCGAGTGGAGAAAAAATGGAATTAAGGGCTCTCAAAGCGAATGAGATAGACACTAAATTAAGCAGCCATCTCAATGAGAAAAGAAGAAAAAGCACAAGAGAAACAGGAGAAATTTACAAGGATTTGACTTCTTCTCTGCGTGTGTGCTTAGAAAGTATCTTAAAGTCTGCTGAGAAAAAGAAGCCACTGGACCCCGAGACCAGAGTGAAAGAGGCTTAAGACTAGCGGTTCTATTCCTTTGGATGGAAGAAGATTGGGCTGCAGTGAACGTCTAAGAAGATATCAAGAATTTAGAGAGTTTTAGTACAGATGTAAAGGCGGAAGGGCTTTACAAATTGCCTTTATGAAACGAGCTGGAGGAGATGCTCGGGAAAACTTCTCATAACAAGTAACAATCTAACATATAAGCTTTGAAAGACAGGATCTCACAAAGTATATTGTTTATTAACAGCCTTTTCTTTTACTAACAGCATTTTAACAGGGAATGATCTCCTAATCTTGGGTTTTTAGCTTAGTGTGGGTTATCTTTTCTTTCTCCTTAATTGTAGTCCCCCTATCCCCATTTTTTCTTGGTAGTTTATGTAGTATTATATTAAAAAAAATCCCCTCCGGGGGCTTAAAAAAAGAGAGAGAGTGCCTCCAGTCGATGATTGATTTATAATGAACATCAGAGGCTCACTAATCTGCTCCTTACAAGACTTCAATAACCAGAAATGGAGGGATTAAGAGTACATGTGCAGCTGTTCACCATGTGCTGCTGTTCACTTTGGATCATGCAGCTTCTTTGCTAACATTACAAACAGAGATGCTGCAAATGTCACAGTGAACGTGTTTAGCAGTTTGAAATAGCCTGTTCAACAATCACAGTCAGAATATAAGAAAAGCAATATGTTTGCCTGGCATCAAGCAGGGATTGTGGGAAATAATTGTAGAAAATATCTGCAACTACCTGTTGATCAGAAGTCAACTTCCAGCTAACCAGGGGATCAGCTGGGAGTCAGTTTCTGATTTTCCAGCACTTTTCTGAATCTTGTGTTGTGCTCAGATACAGGAAAACTCCAGAGATAATTAGAAGCCAGCTCACTACTAACAGAGGATCATCTGGTTTGAGCTTTTGATCCACTTACCCTCAGAAAGTTAAACAGTGAAGTTGGAAATCAGAAGATGATCAACTTCTGACCTCCCCATTGCAAAAAGAGGGGAGAAAGGGGTGACTTCCCTCTCTCCAAGCGCGGGGGGGAGAGAAGTGATGCTTCTGATCTCCATTGCAAAACGCAGAGGAAGAAGATTTATTCTCTCCTTTTCTCTGAAATGCAAGCTAATTGCTTGAGATGGGAAGAAAAGAAGTTATTCATTTCTTCCCCCATCCCAAACAGCAAAGAGAAGGGAGCACCCAGGGAAACTGTTTGGAAATAGGCTAGGACAGTTAAAAGGAAATATTTCTTTACTCAACAAGTAATTAAACTGTGGAATTCACTGCCAGTAGAGGAAGCGACAACCACAAGCATAGCTAGTTTTAAAAGCGGGCAGTTACACATCTTGGTGGAGGAGAGGTCCATCAATGGCTACTAGCCCTGCTGACTTAAGACAGCCTCAATCTAAAGAGGCAGCAAACTTCTGAATACCAGTGCTGGGAGTCAGCAGCAGGGGAGGGCCACAGTCTCTGTCCCGTTTGCTTGGCTCTCCAAGGCAACTGGTTAGCTGCTGTGCGAAACAGTATGCTGGACTAGATGGACCACTGATCTGATCCAGCAGTCTGTTCTTATGCTCTTAGCTTTTTAAGGTGATTCGGCTGGGCTTATTGTTACCCTCTCCAATTTGCTGCATATAAGCAAATATGGGATGCAGCAAACTTTCCAGGG